AAACCCCCCAAAAAGTGACCCATACCGAGCCGTACCGTGCCGTACCATGCAGTGGAAAAGCGCCATAAATCTCCCATAGTGAAACAGTTAGAAAAAGAACGATGGGTTACTTAACATAAACCCGGGTTCTTTGATAACAGAGTGAGGTGTTTCACAAGCACTTCCCTCCTTACATAGGTACGGGAAGAAATCTCTCTATAATGACTTTGGCAGGGGTTGACCAGGCTGATATAGGTGGGGCGGAGCCTGGTCACAGGTCGACCTGTGTCAAAGGGTTTACGTTAAGTAACCCATCGTTTCTGTAAGGGTGTGTGTCCGTAGTACTGTATGTGTATGCGTCTGTATGGGAGAGAGAGTGGGAGAAAGAGATGTGTTTTCCATACATAAAACAATTTTTAAAAACATGGAAATAATTTGTAATTTTTATCCTATTGTTTAATACATTTATTTGCTGGGTCATTGTCATTATGGGTTTTGGTTATTTTCCTGTAAGTACCTTTGAAATAACTGAAATCATTTAGTGAAGTGAACATGTACTAACTCCATTTGGAAGCAGATTGTCCAATGACCACATGGAGCAAGTCCTCTTCTTTCATTACAACAGAAAGTTTTGCTCAAACCTATGAGTTTTAATTGAATGAACAGTTTGAATGCACATTTAGTCTTTCATTAGATATGCCAAATGCTGCCAACAGACTAACTGCAATACTTCAGAAAATTTAATTTTGCAGTAATTTTAAATACAAAAATGCAAAAAATATGCAAATTTGTTTTCTGTATTTTTCTGTTGTGTTTTTGGTTTCATATTAGCAGAGCATTTAGTTTCAGCATAGTTACAACTACATGACATTTTCTTAAATTTTATATATTGTGCATCTGATAGATATAATTTGCATCATATCCATAATAAAAATAAGTATTTTTGATGATATTGCTTTTACTTGACTTTATTTACATATGTGACCTTGAAGAAATGCAAAAGTAAATAGGATTATTTTACTTTCATATTGTGGTGCTTGGATTACGTTACTGAATCCTTTTTTCATTAATTAATTTGTAACTGTAATGGAATAAATTTTAAAGTAACCCTCTCAAGCCTGTATACACTACTATTCAAATGCCTGGGGTCTGTAGGATTTTTAAAATGCTTTAGAACGAAGTCTTGTATGTTCACCAAGGCTGCATTTATTGGATCAAAAATACAGTAAAAACAGTAATAGTGTGAAATATTATTATATTTTAAAAGAACTGTTTTATATGTGAATATATTTTAAAATGTAATTTATTCCTGTTATGCAAAGCTGAATTTTCAGCAGCCATTACTTCAGTCTTCAGTCAGAAACATTTCTTATTGTTATCGATATTGAACGTTTTTTATCTTTTCACATTTCTACAGCAGTATTTTTTTCAGGATTCTTTGATGAATAGAAAGTTTGAAAGAACAGCATTTATTTGAAACATCTTTTGAAAAAAAAAAATCCTTTGTAACATTAAAGATGTTTTTACTGTCACATTTGATTAATGTAAAGGGGACATCGGATGCCCATTTTCCACAAGTTGCTATGATTCTTTAGGGTCTTCATGAAATGTCTGTAACATACTTTGGTTAAAATTTCTCAATGGACGTGTAAAACAACAGCCTTTTTATTTGGTCAAAAACAGCTCTGTTCAACAGTGGCCCATTTCGGTGCATGTCTCTTTAAATGATAATGAGCTACTGCTCCCCCCACCCCTCTCTTCCATGGGGCGTGTTGACAGGAGACACAGAAAGTGCTGCCTTGGACTCTGTATATGGCTCGGAGGTGGTCTCATTCAAATAGCTATCGACCTACATAGAAACCGGCTGCAAATTAAAACAGCTCGCTGGATGACACAGTTTTAGACCCAGACAGCCCATAACAAATTGGCTGCTTGTTTTCTTTTCAGCTTTTCTGAGCTGGCAGATATGCCAGAAACCTAACTAAATGCAAAACAAATAATGCTAAAAAAGTGAAAATTTCATCCGATGTCCCCTTTAATGCATCCTTTTTTTAATAAAAGTATTAATCGTTTTACAAAAAAGCCCCCAAACCTTTGAAAGGTAGTATATGAACCAGTTTTATAAAAGGTAACAGTCAAGTGCACATAATTTAAACTGGCTTAAGGACAAGAAATCACAACATCACACACCTTGAGAGCCAGGCAGTAGTCAGTGGGGGCCTTGTACTTGCTCCGGTAGTCCTGACCATAATAAACATTAACATGGTCCAACTGCAGGAAGCACACCAAATCCCTTGAAGCCTACAGTGATCAAAATAAACATATTAATATTGTTTGATGTTTATTACTGTCTGTTGTCAAATTTGGATAGTTTATTCTTCATAGCTTACAGTGCTCAAAATTGAGAAGATAAAGGCAAACAAAAATAATACTATATACTCATGGTATCAAGCAGAAGCAAATAGCCAGGATCAACCACAAGAGGATATCAGTGAGTCTGTGCCAAAGCATATTACATACAGACAAGCCCATGACCTTAAATATCAGAGAATTGAATACTAACATGAAACAATTGTTCACTTGTGACTGATTTCAAATTGTATAAGAACATGAAAATTCTATAAGAAAATAATGCATGGGGGTCTCTCTGGGAATTAAAGCCCCATGATTTATTGTAAGTGGATGACAAACAGCATATGGTTTGTGTAGAGTATCCTCAGAGAATCCATAAACAGGAAATTCCACTTGAATTCATTACGATCTGTGTCCATTTAATGGGAACATGACACCAAATCATATGATAAAACAAAAACACTCACACACACACACACACACACACACACACACACACAATAACACTGACCTTGGCTTTGCCCTTCGGCACAAAATAGATGCCAGATGCCCTCAGAAGAAAGTAGCGCTTCTTCCAAGACTTTTTGCCATCCTCCTTCAACCACAACACTCCCTCGATTTCAGGAACAGACACTGAGCTTCCACAAAAACATTCCTTCAAGACATACAGATACAAAATACTTCATCACACTGTCAGGCATTCTGAAATTTGATTTTTATCTTTAAACTCTGTCGGACATCACAACCAACACTTCTAAATTAACATTATAGTGATAAAGGCTTTGGGTCACACTAACTAACTGTGTGTATGTATTTGCATGTTAAACAAGGGAAAAAATCAGTTTATGCACAGCAGGCAATGAGCGCGTTTACATGCACGTTCTTAAGCCGATTATGCTTAATAAGCCGAAAACGCACTTGGTCATGTAAACGCGGTAACCTGTTTTCTTTTATCGGAGTAAGGTCATAAACGGCGTAAGCATAAACCGGTCGCAACAGGTAGTTTTTTGCCTCTTACTCATATTTCGCACGGCATGTAAACGCAATAACCCGCTTTCTGTCGGCTTATTGAAGTGCGCATCTGTGACACGTGACAGGAACGCATCGTTAGTGCAGGTTTAAGCGCATCTAGACCGAGCAAATGTCTTGCAGTAAAGAAAGAAGGAAATATATCACAAAAGCAGACTTTTTCATGACTCAGAAAATGATAAAAAATGTGTTCTCATCTCGTGCAGCAGAAGTAGAAGTGGTTCAGTCACAATGCTGCGTTTATAACTGCATGAGAGAATAATATATGAGCTGTAAGTTGACATGTTGCAAGCTTAATTTAACATCACAACTGACAAATGTATGGAATACTCGGAGTCAGATACGCAAATGATTATATTTTGACATTACTACAGGGAAATAAGCGGATTTATTAATGAAGTCATGTAAACGCAGCTTACTTGTGTTGTCAGGTTACTGATGTGCATGTAAACGGGGAAAACTGTTTATTTTAATAAGCTGATATTTGTGAGTTATCAGCTTACTGGTGTGCATGTAAACGTGCTCAATAATGAGAGGTTAGGCTAGTTAGTCTAGGCCTTTATAAAAAGTGTTTGTGTTTCAGCATGGTTTTGAGGTTTTCTGATTTTTACTTGAGACCCAATGTGCTTTAATTGAAAATGTACCATTGTACTATGATATCAAACTATCATTTGTATTTTAATGTGTGCTTCACCTCCAGCAGTGCCTCCTTGCTTCTGTCTGCCATCTCAGAGGTCTCCTTCCTCCCAAGTAAATAGTTCTTAGAAACATACATAATATGCAACAAGTGAATCAGGGTGACAACATAAAACATTTAAAGAATCATAACTCTTTGCTATTACTTTAAGCCTAACTTTGGATCATCGTGTGTACATATAAAAGTTTAGGCACGGTACAATTTTTAAATATATTCCTGTGAGGCAAAGCTGAATTTTCAGCAGCCATAACTTTAGTCTTCAGTGTCACATGATCCTTCAGAAATGTGCTGCTTCTTATTTTTGCGGAAACTCCGATACATTTTATTTTTCAGGATTTTTTGATGAATAGAAAGTTCAAAAGAACAACATTTATTTGAAAGATTTATTTTTTATTTTTGTAAAATTATAAACATCTTTACTGTCACTTTAGATCAAATACTGTAACTTTTTGAAACTTCCTGGAATAAAAGTATTTTATAGTAATAATAATGCAAGTAATAATAAAATAAAATAAATAAAAATCGTACTGACTGCAAACTTTTGAACCGTAGTGTACATTGTGGTTTTGAAGTGTCAAAATGTTTCTAATTTGGCTAGTTCTAATTCAGTAATTTTCAATACTTATTAGTGTTTATTTCTGTCAGGACCACTATCGTCAAAGATGATTGACAATTAGCATACAGTTTGGATTGGCGGTATGGTTGTGTTCTGGGCAAGAACTCCCTGCGCATTCATGCAGCCTAGCATGGATGAGAGCAGGGAGAGCAGCAATAACCCCCTAGGGTAAACGGAACAGAACCAACATAAATGTATTGCAGATATTGTTAATGTTCAATAATTTTATGTACACATTTTAGAATTAGTCTGATTCAAAGTATAATCAGAAGGCTGAATCCCGACTGACAGAGGAGGAGCTGGGGATGGAGGAGGGTAATTAGCTATTGAGCAATGCGAAAACTGCTGATAATACTGAGGGATCTTATATATGAATGCTTAGATAGGTGTCGTATTCCCATAGGTTGATGGGGATCAGCTGAGAGTCAGCTGATGCGAGCTTGACTAACGTGACCTGCCAGAACTAACGCTACGCTTGATTTCTATGATTAAAACAGATTTTGAATCTCTGTTTAATCAGATTTTTTTCTGTATATATATGTCACAAAAAAGAGCTTCACCTGTGGATTTTTGAAAAGTGCATACTTTTCAATCCGTTCAATGAACATGAGTTTGTTTTGACTGTCTCTGGTCCAGTTGAGCAAGTTCTCCACCAGGTTCTCATGGTCTTCAAAAATTCTCTCTGAAGACAAAAATCGAAAGAGTGAGCGAGAATGATAAGGTACAAAATCATCTTCTTGTTGTCCCTCAGGTTCACAGGTCATCTAAGCATGTGCAGGTATCCTCACCCATCTGTAGCTCAGGTATGGTCTCAACCAGAGCCCAGTCCGGACTGTAGCCACAGTGAGATTTATCCAGCAGACTGTCCAGCACCTGCCTGACCGTCTGCCTCTCATCCACCATCATGGTCTTTGAGCTCTCATCTGACATGTGTACACGTATCACCAGCTGATGAAGAAGATTAATAGGAAAGGAAAGTTTGGTTCATTCCAGTACATTTAATGTTAACTTTTATATATATATATATATATATATATATATATATTTACACATACATTTTTATGGAAAGTGACATTCTGTAGATACATATACAGTACATTGTGCATATATATAATTTTTTTTTTCACTAAAATAAATCAATGACTGTTTAATAAATGTTCTTGAATTTGAAATGGATCAATTGGATGGGATAAAGAAAGAAAAGTAGCTAACAACTGGACTGTAAATATGGAAATTCCATCAATACGGTTTCAACTTCATCCTAGGATGCACCTGATGTTGGATAGTTTGGACAAGCTGGCATGCCCAGAATGTATTGCTAAGCTATCTGTTATCTAACCAAAGGGTGGCTACTTTGAATAAATCAAAATAATCAGGTACTGAAATTAACATGCGTCAACCTGCAAAATGCATTAAAAATAAACCGTGGCAGTAGATGCTATCAACTCACTTGCTAATTTGGCAGGTTATAATTCATAAATTATATTCTATCGCTTTTTATTAAATTATGCTCTGTTCCGTTCCTACAAGAAGTATTTAACAATAGCAAAACGGCGTAACGGTGAAAAGACTTTTTCAATCTGTTCTCACTGCCTAGGCATAAGATAAATTCTACATTTCCAAGATTTTTGTGCACCGCTATACAGACACCAAAAGCACCATTTAGCATCTTTATAGTGACAAAGCCAGAAAGCCAGCTGTTTGCAATGAGAAACACTAGCTGTCAATATACTGATGTGAAGAGCACAGGAATGTTATCATCAGGAAATCATAAGGTCATAGGGAACAATTTTGTTATCATTAAATAATATTTTGGGGCATGACTTTTTTTTTGGACACTTTGGAAATGAGAACAGATCGACTTTTTTTCGAATGGATGTCAGAGAGATGAGTTCAATACACTGACTTTTGTGAAGAAACAGCCGATCAATTTATGAATCGCCTATGTGTTCATCTTAAACATGTTTACCATTAAACATTTATTTTAGAGTCTGCTATATCTGGAATTTACAACAAAATAAATGCTGCTTTATAAGAGCAATCACAGAGAATTTTGTGACAATCAGAATTCATTTTATGGCACTACTCTTTAATTTTTCAGATTTACAATGAATATGCTGAAATCTAAGCAGTGACTCATAAAAACGTGTTTATTTCTGATATTTTTATGATGGCTAGTAGATGTTCTGAATGGCCAGTAACTTAAAAATTTAGTAGTCAAACTGAGTAAGTCAAAAAAGTTTATTTCCAACCCTGGACATTATATAGTTCCGATTTTATTTTTTTATTTTTTTGTTCAGTACATACTGTAAGTCCCATAATATGAAATGCATATTAACATCATGCTTTATTTTGGTGCTGTCTTTTAATCAGTTTTGATAAATTTGATTTTGTAACGTGATCTTATGAACATCTCCTGACAGGGACCCTTGTTAAGACCTATAGTTACTATCGTTACTTTATTTCCCTTGATTCGAGAATGTGAGCAAAACCAAAGAGTATTGACATGTTTCTTTATATTTCATGGCATGTATATCATCATAGCTAATCTAGCTTGTGGAATCTTACTCCTGAAATATAACATGGGTCACACTTACATCCAATTAAAAATATCAGGAAGATCAAATGTTTGAAATATAATTAAATAAATGTCTGTAACAAATTCAAGAAAAACGTGGCATGCATCTAAAGCTTGTGCACTTGTTGGGATATTGTATAGATGGAAAAAAATAATAATTTGTACAGTATGCTACAAATATGTTGTTCAAATCAGAATGTTTGACTTTGCTCAAAGATTTATAGGACTGAATTGGAATATGATGTGGATCTTTAGAAACGTGGCTTTAATAAAGACTAACTGGGAACAGGAAGGACAACTGGCTTTCATCCCTCTCTATTTCTCATCCCATTTTCTTTCTTCTTGAGAGTAAGGAATGAAGAGAAGGGAGAGAGAAATGTTGCATAGGCACATTAACAGACAGCCCTGCCAGGGGTCCTGAAAGCCATCAGAATATTAGGGAGCATGTGGCACTTTTCCAAGCCTGACCTCCGCAGAAAACACCCTACTAGTTTATGCTCTCTTAATTCCCTCTCACACATGTGCTCCAACAAACACACACTATATGACATATCTGGCCTGCCTCATTCTTTGACTTCAGCACAAACAATCTATCACACTGTGCAATAATATTTCAACTGAAGGAGTACAAACTCAGAAACTGCACAAACTGACACTGATAAATGCAGGAAAGGCTTATTTTGACAGAACAATCACTAATTTTCCTCTTATCGACTAAACTGAATCACTGCGGCTTTACATGCCTTGCATTTTGACTAAATTGAACGTGACATTTTTTAAAACTTTGCTCAGGTCTGCAAAATCAGATTTTTCCTCCACAAGCATATACACTGGGATCCAAAGATCTGAGACCACTTGTGAAAATGTTTCAATTTCTAAATTCATTTTTTCTTTTCATTACAATATATCAATTATATTATCAGCTATTTGGGTGAAAGGTTGAGCTGACATGGACTCCACAAGTGCAAAACCTGATGAGAATGTTCTGAAGATCATCTTGGTTTATTTAAAATGGAAGAAATTCTGACATTTTATCGAGTTAACATGGTCAGTGTAAGAAACTTGCTTTTTTGAATGTGACCTTTGTTAGTTTTTAAAAATATATATATTTTAAACTTCTTTTTTATTAAATACTGAAATCTCTCATAATTTCCAGCTTTTGATCTTCAATGGGGTTTCAGACCTTTGGACCATTGTGTATTATTATATTCTGCTGTTTTTATTCTTGTATTATTGAAAGCGTATTTGACGCAGTATCATTCCGTATCGGTCTCACTGCACCATTGCTGCTCAATACTGTCAGTTTTCTCTATACACATAATGAAAGGAAACAGTCATCTGTCTCGCCTACAGAGGCCCAATCACTGTACTGTGTCTAATTCATTCACTTGATATTAGCATGTGCCTGGTGGCATCTATTTTGACAGTGCCTTTCAGATGAATAGTGTAATAGGATAGATCGTCTCTCAAGAATAAACGCAAACCTCAGACCAGTTTGAATGACAATAAAAAACCACAATGAAAATGTTTCAACAAGTAATTTGAAGCGAAAGCTTCACCAACATCTTGTTTGTGCATTTTGCGTTCTAAGCAGAGAGAGACTCACAGACACACGAGTGACCTATTTTCTACTGTGCATTCATCCTATGAATTCTCCTGCTATAGAGTGTCTGAAGGGCTGCATCATGCAGTGAAAGAGGAGGTTCACTGAAACTTGGGGGACCAGAGAATCACAGGGGCTTTGACTCACCTTTTTCACCTGGGCTTCTTTAATTTTCTCTAGTGCCACACGGATTTTCTCAGCCTTCGCTTTGGCAGCCTGCTCCTCCTGTAAATGACAAAATTACATGTTAACAAAGAAACACACTCACATAGTATCACGCCAACAGTCTGCTAGTTTCATCCGTTACTGAGGCATGAAATCAGACAGGTGAATTTCTGTTTTACACTTACCTTCCCTCTCCAACATGCAGTCATCACATCCATTCAGACCTTTTAAAACAAACCCAAAACCCTCGCAAAGTCTGATCAACCAGCAACCAGAGACACAAAAGGAAGTTACACGACCACTCCTGAACCACCTCTCATGTTAACGGTTCCTTAGAGAAATGGCTGTTCATTCATTCAATACAAATTTAAAGAGACACACAGATTTGTAGCAGCTGAAATATTTCTTAAATCCAATAAATGGATGTTCTCGTCACAGATGGCAGCTATTTCAAGGCCTGACAGGTACTTCCAGCTGAAGTTTCAGAGCTGCTGCAGGAATGGCCTCTGATGGAAATCATTCAAATAATCCAAAAAATACGACTACTGCCACTCAATCTGAAGGAACGTGAAGGCGAAATGTGCATTGGCCGTGACACACAGATGAAAACGCTTCCCCTCACATATCTTTACACCCAGAGCACCTTACACACAACTCTACTCCTCAACATTGGGAGGGATTGAGACCTCCCCTTCTCTTCACTGTCTCGCTCCCTCTCTGTAAAACAGCTGCATGTCTCTGGTAGCGTGCCCAATCACAGGGTTTAATCCCCCTCACCAGTAGACCAAGCCGCCATCAGCTATAAAAGACCCTCTCGTACCTCTTCTCCAATCGGAAAGTACATATACTTCTCTGCAGCCAATCAGTGAGGTTTGTTTCTTTGACTTTCTTTCCACTAGCCAATAAAGCTGAGGCCAAATGTAGATGACATTATTCTCTGATCCTTTTTCTGTGGTTGTGGAAAAACACCCTCCCTTTTTGAATAATATCTAGGCCTTGTATTTATTGTTTTTCACATTTTAAAAAGGGGGTTTTATAAGGACGAGGGTTTTAAGTGACACTGTGTTTAAGTCAACTTTGAATATTATTATGTCATTTTTTTATAACAGGATGAGCAGGTTATGGGCTGATTAAGAAATACAAAGTCAGAGGCAGACAAATAAAGATTTCAATATGCAAAGTATATGCAATGAAAAGCATATAATGAAGAGGAAGGAAGGAAAAAAGTGTGGTATACGTGATATGAAAGGACAGTTTCTCTCTTTCGAATTACTATGACAGATGCATATTTATGATGCAGAGACAGAGAGAGAATGGAGAGCTCTGCAAAAAGCCGAGGCAGAGGCTTCGATAAAAAGCATTAACTTCCCTTTTAAGTCTTTTTTTCTTTTCTCGGGCTCTCTCTCGCTCTGTTTAAGGCAGAGAGTCTGTGTCTCAGCAGTCTGGAGTGAGTCCATCCAGAGTGAACAGGAACGCAAACACTGTTCTGATGAAATCATGAGGAAATCAGAGTGGGATTTCAAGAACATCTCCGCCTCGGTTTGTGTAAATAGATAATGACTTGGTCTAAGGTCATGACAAATATATTAAACTTAGCTGACTCTGCTTCATTTAAAGAAAGGAAAAAAATCCTAAACAACTAAAAAAAGACAAACTCATTATTTAATAACACTTTGAAAACATAGGACTGAAAAATCAAATTTAAACCGTAATAAAAGAAATCTTTAGGTTTCTGAAAATTTAAACAAAGAAACATAATGGTGTAAAATTAAGAAATATTCTGCACTATTTCTAGGTCACTAGAAATTCTCGAAAAATTCTTAAATCATGTTGGAATAACATAGGTCACATCTTGCATGTACATCAAGTGCCTGTTCAAGTGGATGCTCTCATTAAAGCAAATGGGGAATGCAGCAAAAACTTCTGAATTTAATTCAAAATAGCTATTTCTGTAAAAACTTCATATACATGTAAAACTTTCATTCAAAAACGTATTATACTATAACAACAACCAGAGATAATGTTGTAATGCAGCACAATGAACTTGAGAAAATAATAAACCATATTAACTTGGCCGTAGCAGCTTCAAGGTGTAACAAAAGCTCACACAACCTTGAAAAATCAAAGTGGCGTCAGATTTGGATGCTTATTATTTAGCTCCACGTGACAAAAGCACTCTTACCCACAATGCTCTGCACCTGCAAAGCGCCTTTGCTAGTATGACAACATGGGAATTACAGTCACATGCATAATAATAGCTGTTCTCAGGAATAAATTAAAAGCAAGAAGTTATTCAATATAGAGCCTTTGTTTCAAGCTAATTAATGCTTATTGGAAAACAAATGCATGGCTGTCTATGCTGCATGGCTAACAGCATTATTGAAGGGATAGTTCACACAAAAATGAAAATTCCGTCATTGTTTACTTCCTCTCTTTTCGTTCCAAACCTGTATGATTTTCTTCTTTGTCTGTGAGAAAATTTTATGAGAATTTATTTATTAATTTTTACTATACAATGGAAATCATATACAACATAAAAAAAAAATCTTCTTTGTGCTCTGCAGAAAAAAAAGCCTTACAGATTTGGAACAAAAAAAGTTGAGTATATAATAAAAAATTTATTTTTGGCTAAACTATCCCTTTAAAATAATACTGTTTAACACACAGAAAGTCAAACTGTCTGAGACACCACTTTCACACAAAAAACCCATAAGAATAGGTAAATTGGTTTCAGTTTTATATAGTTCTTGAACTGAAATGGTCCTAAAATGAAATGATATAAGTGATGAACAGCCATTTCTTCAGGGAACCAGCGATAACTTTGATAACTCACCAAAGCATCAAACACAAACACAAAATGCAGACAAAAACCCAGAACCTCTTTACAAATCTGTTTTATATACTAAACACATTTCTTAACCGAGGTCCAAAAGGATATTCGTAACTTTAATACTTTACATTAGTCATGAAAACCACAAAAATTCCTAAACATACTACTTCATCTCTAAGCCTACACATACATATATATATATATATATATATATATATAAAACGATAACACCTTTCTAACCTTCAATCTGTGAATGCTAATAACTGACCATTATGAACTAGAAAATCTGACTTGAATCATATTTTTAAGAATTCCTGTACGCTACAAAATAAAAGACATAATACACAACCCAAGCTTTCTCTTCAGAGAGAGGTGCTAGGTTGAAAGCATTAAGGAGGACAAAACATTATAGACACTTTTGACTGGATGATCTGATTTTTTCTTGAAATGGCTGCACACATATGAAGATGGCAGCAAAGAGAAAACAGGAGATATAGCACTTTAAAAAAGTAAGGCAGTGTGGGTGGAGCAAAGTGTCAAGTCTGGCAAGAAGACTGAGGTTAAAAGGCTTTAGTGAAGAACCAAAATAAATCCAAAAACACGCAGAGAAAAGAAAAGAAGCAAGCGAAAGGAGGCGTCACCTTGGTCAGCAGGTGAGAGGGTTTTCCTGCAATGTTTTTCAGAATCAGAGAGGTCTCCCTGTCCAGATACGAGTGCTTTAGGGTGCAGGGAAAAGACAAACAGAGATTAATCAGTGCAATGATTACAGTGATTTCAAAAATGATAGAAATACATACTTGATTGTGGTAAAGCACAGAAAGTGTGGAAGCATTGCCTGAGCACTGATTATTCAAAATCAGAAAGAGGTGGCATATAAAAGTGTGGATGGAAAACAAATATATAAAATAACTGTTTCGTATATAAAATATTGTGATCACAGATCTCTTTTAAAAGCCTTTTTGAAAAAACAAAGAGCTGAGAATAAACCTCTCCTGATATACTACAATTTTCCTTTCGTAACCAAAATGATGACGTTATGAAACCTTGAATTAGCACAGCTATGCTAAGAGCCAGTATTTTGAGAATGAACATACTGTGTACACATATCCCCTGTCGCGCACAAACACACTTACAGTACTTTGATCCACCTCCCCCTCCTGTGAGGTGAAGTCAAGATGCCGTCTGGTAGCTTTACCATTGGTCCTTCGCAGTGAGACATGCTGGGAAAAGGGGTGGGGGAGGCAGTGACATCACATCACAGAAAAGGTGCAAACATAAACACATTAATCATGCAGCAGACAATGCAAAACAAGGCATCCACAAGCAAGGGTCAATATATGCCGCCACTCTTGTTGTAAAAACATGTTCTGGTTTAATAGAATATAATTTCCATCTAATCGACAGTATGCCACCGATACTATCAAGAAAGTAATCTTGACTAAATTTACACTATTACATGTACAGTGGAACTCTATGGGGCATGTTCTTTTTTTATCTGTAATTTTCTTACCCTCATGTCTTTCCAAACCCATACGACTTAATTTAATCTTCAAAACACAAATGGTATTATTAATATTCTCTAATCATTTTGGTTCATCCATTCAATGCCAATGCAACCAAAATGTTGAATCTTCAAAAATAAGTCAAATATAAAGACATTGTAAAGTAATCCATACAAAATAGAGTGGTTTAATCCAGGTCTTCTGAAGAGCCACGATTGCTTTATATGATGAACGGATTTTATGTAGGATTTTTGTGACATACAAACATTGATCAGCGCACATACACAGAGCACATCAAATATGGTAAACAGAAGCTTAACCGTACTTGCTTGATGCATGAGAACAAACCTCACTAAATGATGACCAAAATTATTAAGAATGTTAAAAACATCTTCACTCGTGTTCTGAAGATGAACAAAAGTTAATGGGCTTGTACTAGCTGTTAAGTTCTCAAAATGGACATTTTAGCAGTGGGCCTATAGTTCTAGGTGGATAAAATACTAGTTAGGCATTAACAGTGCAAGTCCTGTGGGTGTGAGTTTGCTTCATGTAAACAATACTTTGCAGATAGCTACGTCATGTCCCTTCTATGGTATCCTTGCACAAAAAGTTACTGGCTTTATGAGGAGTTTGACTTTACATCATATTTTCATCATATTAGTCTTGCATATTTGACACAAATAATGCAAGTCTTTGGCTACATTTTAGAAACAGTCTATATTTTACATTTACTCTTGCTGCAATGCCTTGCCAGACAAAAAAAAAATCAATTTTCAGATCTTTACAGTAAACATGCTTTTTGTTTGTTTTTACAAATTATATTCTGATATTGTCCATAGAATTGAACTTTTATTGAACATGACATGCTTTCAAGCTTTATAGGTCAATGGATCCCTGCTTCAATATAAATAAAGGTCAGTATCATTTTCAAATAACTTTCATTAAAACATCATATAATGCTTTGAAATCCCTATCTGTTTTATACTGTGTATCATCCCTGCAGTACATTCATGGAGCCCCTGGATCCACAGAGCAGTGGCTGAAAACCCTTGTTTCATATTAATATAGATGACATTATAGAAGCCATGTCATCTGTTGCTCCTATAGAACTTTTTTTAGTGTAAGCATACAGTACAACAACAAAGATGTTACCAAAACCAACACATCATGCATGTAAATAAGTTAGAATAGCACAGCCATATAGCATAACAGGTGTTATTGTCACACTGTACTGTTTACAGTGACCAGCACAGTGTCTGTGTCTCTACATGTCACGTAATAATGTCATGCAAGATTACGACAGCAAGATTTGTGCACACATTCTCTCTCACACACAGACATGAAATTCTATCACGTTGTTCCATCTGTGAAACAGCGCTTGTTTACATCTGAAACCACAGTATGTATTTTTTAGCTGAGTGAAGTGCTCGGGTCTATATATCCTGGTGCGGATGAGCAATGCTGTGGTTATAAGAGTGGCGAAATATCATCTCTGGTTTATTGTTCTGACAACAGTACTGAAGAACTATTAAAGCTCAGTGTGTGTGCTTGTGAGAAATTGGTTATAAGTAAGTGTGTGTGTGTGAAAAGTATGTGGCCAGCCAAGAGATGACTAAGCTTTAATGATTCAATGGTGTATTCAGCGAAACCTCGATCATCACATTTCCCAAAACCACAATACAGACTTTGCCCTTAACAAAAGAACAAAACTGCTATGAACAGAACTCTGTGTGTGTGTCTGGGTCAGAGGGAATGTTGACTGTCCAAGTAAAGCGACCCTCTTTGTTCTAAATTGTTTAGTGAATAACAGGATAAACTTTCTAAAATGTCAATGACTTTTTTTTTTGGTAGTAATTAGACTGACTTTAAGACATTTATTAAAAATAGAATTATGACTAAGACATTAATTAGTCTTAGTCATAATTCTACTTTGAATAAATGTCTTAAAGTTCCTGTCTGAAGTTACATAGATGGGAAAAGATTTTTACAATTAGAATTTTCTTCTTTTTAACACCCACATATACACACACAAACATCCATATTAAGCAACTCTTAAATAATGAATCTGGCCAACTGATATGATGAAGTATTGAAGTCAGCATGAAATCAAAAGTTGACCCTATTTACTGTCATGCATTCTCATGGACTTTTTTTTAGTGATTCATCTGACATATCACATTACAAGGGGAGAAATTTTTACTCTTAATTATTAACTTGTTTGAGACAATTAATTTTACTAATTTATTAATTTTACATATTAATAAGCCGTTATGTTAAAACAATTATAAGAAATAATGGTAACAAAAATTATCAAAATAAAATTGAATTCAGAAATTAAAAAACAAAAATGTTCACTATACAAACGATGCATTCAAATAACTGTTTGTATAAACTGCATACTTAATGTATTTTTTAATTAAAGTTGCATTGAGTAGTTCTTTAGCTAGCTTAAGCATCTCTGTTGTACCAATGCCACAATGGTGAAAGATGCTGCAATGTTCATCTATCAGCGTGGATCAGCATTATCATCTCTGAGTTCTGTCAATGGAGACGGTAGCTAATGAGTGTGAAGTGAAACATCACCGGTCACGTCATGCCAACATAGAAATACATCAGGCTGACCAGCACAAATTAAAACACTTTTTTTTTTTTATAGAAAACTACTATGAGTACAGTCAGTCTTCTTTTCATGCAAGTGAACCCCATTCAGATGACTCTTCAACATTGTTTCTTAATGGGTAAAACTTTTTAAATTAGCATGAAAGTGCCAATGCATCTTTAACAGATTTAAAAAAAATGTAAGAAAAGATGAAAAGAAAATGTAAAATGGGTTGTGAATTACAATTCATGTTGACTTTATACTTGGAATACATAACCTGATGTTGTGAGATTCGCCTTCAATCTATGTGCTAAAGAAAGCAGCGATTGTGATTGAGACCATTATCCCTGTGTTGACTGAAAATTCCTCTTTATCCTTTTTCTTTAGTAGATATTTATTTTATGGTGTTGTGCTTTAGTTTTGAGCCCCTCACATCTGCTTTCAGTTTTCTCTCTGCTACGTCTCACTCTGCTGAAACTCTCAGAGTAGCATGGTCTCTCATGCCTAATAAACCTCTGGTCCTCTATGGACATGCTGTCATGTTACCGTCCAGTTCTTCTTAGAGTCAGAAATCTAAGCACTAGCTATGCAATAATTCAAAAGGAAAAAAAGAGTGAAAAAAGATTTAATATCATGTTTGAGTGTGTGTGTGTGTGTGTGTGTGTGTGTGTTACCTCTGTGCTAGGCTGGCTTTGGTTCTGATTCTGTGACTGCACCTCATTCTCCTGCCCTCGAATGTCCAGTGAGTCCATGCTGGACGCCGAGGCAGAATTGATGCTTGACCTGGACGAATGACCGATCGAGCGCACTTCCTGGTCACTGACCGTACCAACCGATCCTGTGCGGCGATGATGTGTGTTAGAAGGCGGGTGAGACAGAGTTGCAGATGAATATGAGGAGGAGGATGAGGAGGAAGATTCAGAAGTCTGCCTCGCTGCCTCGTCCATGCTCAGGGATGCCTTTTCTAGCTGAGCGGTGATGTCTTCCAGGGAGATGTTGGAGGCCAGGGGCCGTGACTGGCTGCTGCCACCGCGTACGGTGGAAGCAGGAGAAGCTCTGGTGCTGCTGCTGGTGCTTCCTCCACTGCTGCCCCCTCCGGTGTGTTTGGTGCTGGCCGAGCGGCCTGTGGGTCTTTGTCTAGATTTGCCATCTGAGGTCTTGCTCATGGGTTTGACGATAGTGCTGAGCTCTTGTTCTATTGAACACAGGTCAGCCATGAGGGCGTCCAGGTCCACTGTCTCACCTTGGTTAATGGCTTCTACATAGATAGACAGAGGATGATTTTAATTCATTTAATTCAAGCATGCTACCATTTAAAAGTTTGCATTAATTAATACTTTAATTCTGCATTAAATTGATTAAAAGTGATAGTAAATACATTCATAATGTTACAAAAGATTTCTATTTTAAATAAATGCTGCTCTCTTAAACTTTCTATATATCAAAGAATATATAGAATTCGAGCAAGTATTATATGTGTAAATATGTGTGCGTATCATAATTGTAATGTGTATATATGTGTGTATGTGGGTATGTATATGTATATATATATATATATATATGGGTGTATGTGTGTGTGTGTGTATATATATATATATATGTACATATCTGTGTGTGTGTAGTTATTATGTGTAAGGTATATGTACGGATACATATATATATATATATATATATATATATATATGAGATAAACTGTTCTATTTTTCTATGTATGTGTATTTTATATATATTAAACTAAAATAAACTAAACTAAACTTAA